AAGGGAAAGGAAGAAAGAAGGAAAGGAAGGAAGGGAAAGGAGGGAAGGAAGGGAAAGAAAGGAAGGAAGGAAGAAAGAGAAAGAAAGAAAGAAAGACTAAGGGAAAGGAAGGAAGGGAAAGGAAGAAAGAAAGAAAGGGAAAGGAAGAAAGAAGGAAAGGAAGGAAGGGAAAGGAGGGAAAGAAGGGAAAGAAAGGGAGGAAGGAAGAAAGAAAGGGAGGAAGGAAGAAAGAAAGAAAGAAAGGGGAAGGAAGGAAGGAAGGAAGGAAGGAAGGAAGGAAGGAAGAACAGACTTTCAAAGGGTCAGCAGGACGCATTTCAAAGGAAAAGGGGGATTTTTAATTGCCCGGCCTCCTCAAGCCCCTTGGCACCCCCCCCCCCCCAAAGCAGGGCACAGGCCCCCGTCTTTTCCCCAAACCAAGGTCTCCTCTTTTCAGACAACCAGAGTGCCTTGTTCCTCTGGGTCATGGAATGTATATGCATAATTCTGTATTTATTTATTTTGTCATATTTCTATGTAGTGTATATGGGGAGGTGGTGATCCTTTGGCAGCCGTGTGCAAAGAAATTTCGTTTTAATGTATGTTGATTTGTGTACATTCAAAGTGACAATAAAGTTATTCTAAGGAAGGGGGCAAGAAATGAAAGAAGGAGAAGGGAGTGAGGGAAGAAGGAAGAAAGCAAGGGGAAGGAAGGGAGGGAGGGAGGAAGGAAGGAAGGAAGGAAGGAAGGAAGGAAGGAAGGAAGGAAGAAAAAAGGATGGGAGGGAGAGAAGAAAGGAAGGAAGGAAAGAGAAGGGAGTGAGGGAAGAAAGCAAGGGGGAGGAAGGAAGGAAAGAGGGAGAGAGGAAGAAAGGAAGGAAGGAAAGAGGGAGGGAGGGAGGGAAAAAGGGAGAGAGAAATCAAGGTGAAGGAAGGAAAGAAGGAGGAAGAAAAGGAGGGAAGGAAGGAAAGGGAGGGAGTAAAGCCCGAGGAAGGAAGGAAAAAGGGATGGAGGGGGAAGGAAGGAGAAGATAGATGGGAAGGAAAGAAAGAGGAAGGGAGGGAGGAAAGAGGGAAGAAGGAAGGAAAAAGGGAAAGGGGGAAGGAAGGAAGGACACATGTGAAGAGGTGGAAAATGCATTTATCGCCTCCTGTGTTTCGTAGAGGCCGATCCGTGTACATTCAAAGGGAGAATAAAGTTATTCTATGTCCCGCGTGGGCTGTGATGGTGGAGCATGGTTTCTGCAGTCCCTCTCAACACGCCTCCCCAGGCTGCCCCCCCT